GCCCAGGAGGCCTCCAAGAGTGCCTCGAGACGGCGCAAGAGGAGCCCTGGACGGCCCAAGACGGCCTCAAGAGAGCCCCAGGCTGTCCCAAGAAAGCCTCTGGCCTCCTCCTTTTCCTCCTTTTCCTCCCCGCCCCCTCTGCTCCCCCTCCTCCTAATCTCATCTGCCTCCTTCTCCTCCTCTTGCTCTCTCCTCTACATCCTTGTCCCCCCTCCCCTCCCTAATCCACCTCCTCCTACCCTTACTCCACCTCCCACTAAAAATGGGTTAGTGTTAGTGCGTTTGGTGTTTGTTGTTGGTAATCGTGTTCATTTTCGGTGTCGTCGTCGTCTTCTGATTATGCTCATTATGACCATTCGCCATTACGAAAATATGTCGTATGTGTCGCGTCGTATGATGGCGATGATATATGATATGTTTACGGATTATGCGTAATGGTACTAATCTTATTCTAAACATTACGTGTCTTTTCCTCATCCTTCATCATCTTCTCCTCCTCTCTGATCCTCGCCTCCCCCTCCCCTCCTCCTCCTCCTCCTCCTCTCCTCCTCCTCCTCCTCCTACTTCCTCCTCCCCCTCCCCTCCTCCTCCTCCTCCTCCTCCTCTCCTCCCTCCTCCTCCTCCGTCCTCTCCTCCTCTCCTCCTCCTCCTCCTCCTCACTCCTCCTACTCCCCCTCATCCGCCACCTCCTCCTCCTCCCCCCATCCTCAGCCCTCCTCCTCCTCCTCATCATCATCATCATCTTCCTTCTCTCTCCCTCCTCCCCCTCCTCTCCCCCTCCTCCTCCTCCTCTTCCTCCTCCACCTCCTCCTCGCCCTCCTCCTCCTTCTCGCCCTCCTCTTCCTTCCCCTCCTTGATTCCTTTCCCTTAAACATAACTCCCTGTCGCACCCCGAGGCCAGTCGGAAGGGCGGGCTGGGCGGTTCGCCTGAGACTTCCTTACCACGTATGCCCCTGAAGCTTCAAAAGTGGTAACAGTTTGACAAATGGGGGGCGGGCAGTTAAAAAAATGTGATTCTCGCCTTCGCGCCGCGCACATTGGTCTTAAAAATGTGCGCGAGGTTCATGAATTGAGGGCGGGTCGATTTCAAAAAGTTGGCTCTCAACATAGCACTGCGCACATTCGTCTTACAAGTGTTCAAGGGTGTCACGGATTGAGGGCGGATCGTTGTCAGAATGTGGCTCTCGCCTAGCGCCGCGCACACTCGTCGTAGAAATGTGCAACAAGAGTTTCACGGATTCCCATGGTCAAGGTACCAGACATGGCGTTCCGGAGAGATTCAGGATTGACAAAGCGCATCAGTTACGTTGATTCGTTGCGTCGAAGTCCCAGGAATGGTGTTCTCGCACGATTCAGGATCGTCAAGACGCAACATTCAAGTTGAGTCATGGCGATGGGGTAACGCGAATGGTTTTCTGGCACGCTTCAGGATCTTCAAACGGTTGTCTCTCAATGGGAGACTTTCTGTGGAAATGAATCCTTGTAGGGGCCTGTGAGAGGGTTGCTTGGGGGGAAGATGTGCTCCAACATGGTTGGTGAGTCTTGGGATTACACTGGTCCTCCTCCTCCTCCGCCATCTCCTCCTCCTCCTCCTCATCTTCAGCTTCCTCCTCCTCCTCATCTTCCTCCTCCTCCGCCTCATCATCTTCGTGTTCTTCATCTTCCTCCTCCTCCTCCCCCTCCTCATCCTCCTCCTTCTCCTCCTCCTCATCATCAGCATCAACAGCAGCATCATCATCATCATCATCATCATCATCATCAGCAGCATCATCGTCATCATCGGCATCATCATCATCATCATCATCATCATCATCATCATCATCATCATCATAATCATCATCATCATCAGTATCATCATCAGCATCATCAGCGTCATCATCAGCATCAGCATCAGCATCATCATCAGCATCAGCGTCAGCATCCTTATCATCATCATCATCATCATCATCATCATCATCATCATCATCATCATCATCATCATCATCATCGTCAGAATCGCGATCAACATCAGCATCATCACCATCATGAGCAGCAGTATCATCATCAGCATCATCATTGTGGTCATCATCATCAGCATCGTCATCCTCATCAGTATCAGCATCAGCATCATCATCAGCATCATCGTCATCATCAGCATCATCATCAGCAGCAGCACCATCATCATCAGCATCAGCAGCATCAGCTTCAGCATAATCAGCATCATCATCAGCATCACCATCACCATCACCATCACCATCACCATCACCATCATCATCATCATCATCATCATCAGCATCATCATCATCATCAGTATCATCATCAGCATCATCATCATCATCCTCATCATCATCATCATCATCATCATCATCATCATCGTCGTCCTCGTCCTCGTCCTCGTCCTCGTCCTCCTCCTCCTCCTCCTCCTTCTCCTCCTCTTCCTCATCCTCCTCCGCCTCCGAAAGCCGCAGCCCCCTCCTGGATCCTCGAGACCCAGCGGCAGAATGGGGGAACGAATTACCCTGCGACGTACCCAACCCATTTGCATCGACCGGAAAGAGACGTGAGCCAATGTTGGCAGGAAGAACGATATTGCAGGCGCGGCGATTTGTTGTGCAAGCTACATCGGATGCCTGCACGTGGCACGACTCACAGGACAGCGATCGACAGGACGAGGATTGGGGCTCCAGGCTTGAAGAAGCACAGGGGCGGGAACGACGGGCAGGACAATGACGAAATTGTCGGGGCGGGGAACCATCGCGGCACAAGCAGCATGGAGAAAGTAACAAGAGGAATCGGGTGACGATGAAAATGGCGAGAGGAAACGGAAAAGCATCGCTGTTTTCAGTAGCTGGCGAATCTGCGGCGAACACCCACTATGCTGGCACCCCAGCAGCCCTCGAAAGTGGCGACAGTTTCGCAGATCGCCGCCCCGACGAATGGCGAGGTCTAACCTGAATCTGCGGCGGGTACCCACTACGCTGCCCCCCCCCGCAGCCTTCGAACGTGCCGACGGTTTCGCAGATCGCACCCCCCTAGGGATGGCGAGGTCTAATCTGCAGTTGCTGCGAGTGCCCACTATGCTGGCCCCCCAGCAGCCCTCGAAAGTGGCGACTGCTTCGCAGATCGCAGCCCCCCAGGGACGGCGAGGTCTAATCCGAATCTGCGGCGAGTACCCACTATGCTGGCACCCCAGCAGCCCTCGAAAGTGGCGACAGCGTCGCAGATCGCAGCCCCCAGGGATGGCGAGGTCTAATCTGACTCGGCGGCGAGCACCCACTATGCTGGCCACCGGCAGCCCTCGAAAGTGGCGACAGCTTCGCAGATCGCAGCCCCCCAGGGATGGCGAGGTCTAATATGACCCAGCAGCCCTCGAAAGTGACGACAGTTTGCAGACCGCACCCCCCCCAAGGATGGCGAGGTCTAATCTAAATCTGCGGCGAGTACCCACTATGCTAGCCCCCCAGCAGCCCTCGAAAGTGGCAACTGTTTCGCAGATCGAAGCCCCCCCAGGGATGGCGGACCTAATCTGAATCTGCGGCGAGTACCCACTATGCTGGCCCCACAGCAGCCCTCAAAAGTGGCGACAGCTTCGAAGATCGCCGCCCCCCAAGGACGGGGAGGTCTAATCTGAATCTGCCCACCCAGAAGCCACCGAAAGTGGCGACAGCTCCGCAGATCGCCACCCCCCCAGGGATGGCGAGGTCGAATCTGCATTTGCTATGAGTGCCGCCCACTATGCTGGCCCCCCAGCAGCCCTCGAAAGTGGCGACAGCTTCGCAGATCGCAGCCCCCCAGGGATGGCGAGGTCTAATCTGAATATGCGGCGAGTAACCCACTATGCTGGCCCCCCAGCAGCCGTCGAAAGTGGCGACAGCGTCGCAGATCGCAGCCCCCCAGGGATGGCGAGGTCTAATCTAAATCTGCGGCGAGTACAGGCTACGCTGGCCCCCCAGCAGCCCTCGGAAATGGCGACAGCTTCGCATATCGCAGCCCCACAGGGATGGCGAGGACCAAGTATGCTGGTCCCCCCGCAGACCTCGAAAGTGGCGGCAGCGTCGCAGATCGCAGCCCCCCAGGGATGGCGAAGTCTAATCTGAATATGCGGCGAGTACCCCACTATGCTGGCCCCCCAGCAGCCGTCGAAAGTGGCGACAGTTTCGAAGATCGCCGCCCCCCTCGGATGGCGAGGTCTAATCTGGATCTGCGGCGAGTGCCCACTATGCTGGCCCCCCAGCAGCCGTCGATAGTGGCGACAGCTTCGCAGATCGCAGCCACCCGGGGACGGGGAGGTCTAATCTGAATCTGCGGCGAGTACCCACTACGCTGGCCACCCAGCAGCCCTCGATAGTGGCGACAGCTTCGAAGATCGCCGCCCCCCAAGGACGGGGAAGTCTAATCTGAATTTGCCCACCCAGAAGCCACCGAAAGTGGCGACAGCTCCGCAGATCGCCACCCCCCCAGGGATGGCGAGGTCGAATTTGCATTTGCTACGAGTGCTACGAGTGCTCCCTCAAAATGGCGACAGATTGGCAGATCGCAGCCCCCCAGGGACGGCGAGGTCTAATCTGAATCTGCGGCGAGTAACCCACTACGCTGGCCCCCCAGCAGCCCTCGAAAGTGGCGACAGTTTCGCAGATCGCAGCCCCCCAGGGATGGCGAGGTCTAATCTGACTCTGCGGCGAGTACAGGCTACGCTGGCCCCCCAGCAGCCCTCGAAAGTGGCGACAGTTTCGCAGATCGCAGCCCCCCAGGGATAGCGAGGTCTGCGATTAAAAAGGCAGGAGCGAAGGGAAGAGGAAGGCGGGAGAGGTGGGTCGCGACCGCACTGCTCTATTCAATACGAGTACCCAACGCAAGAGGGTTGGGAAAAAGTACCGGTATCGTTACTGCCCAGACCTCTCCAGGGGGCGTTCTGACCAGAATTTCGAGGGGAAGCCAGCCGTGGCGAACGAGGTATCTCCAGGACGAGCAGCGATATCGGTATAGTTTCATTCTCCGAGCCCTGGCGGCAAGGGGGCGGC